AAGAGAGAAAAAAGTGGGGACAACCCTGCATTACTCCAGCTCTGGCGTCGGGGGCAGACTAGTGCTTGGCAGCCTGTAGCCTGCCCCAAGGTCCTTCCTAAGGTCTGTGCTTTTCACTATTGGCTTTTCTACCTGGTAGATTGAACTGGATCAGTGTATTAAGACTTCTCAACATTAAAGGGCAGAACCTGAGATTTCACAAATTGTCAAGATTATGTCCTTAGAACCCTTGGAGAGCAATGCATTTACAGGAGCTCAAGAGTACTCAATATTTCAAAGATTCAATGAAAAGACAGGCTGATCAAGACATATGATGTGGCACATTTTCTCCTCAAATCCAGGAACTAGTTTTGACACTTCCCTTTTGCCATAATATAATGCACTTTCAATACTGTAGTGGAATCCTCTGAGGGTGAATTCATTTATCATAAGACTAATGCATGAGCTGTCTTGCTTCATTCTGATCTGCAGACTGGAATTTTTGGTGGACTCTAAAATGTGTAATTATAATTAAGATTTTTTTTTTTTCTATCATTCTGATAGCAATCCCTCTCTCCAATTCTGACTCCAGGTTACCAATATAAGTTCCCTTAATTTCTATCCTAAACCAAGGGCAGTCTTGTGGTATATGGTAGCATTTTGCTATGTTTAAAAAATATGTGAAGCCATCCAAGGTGGCGGTGGAGTAGGTGGAAGGTATACTCACCTCCTCCCAGGACCAAACTGAAATTACAACTAAAACACAGAACAATCAACCTGAATAACTAACTGAAGGCTAGCTGAACAGAAGTCTTAAAATCAAGAATTTACAGAAGCCATATTGAAACTGGTAGGAAGGCTGGAGATGTGAAAAGGGCTGACCCTGCTCCCACGGGCAGCATCTGAGATTCTGGAGGGATAGCTCAGCTGCAGAGGTTCCCCCTGAGGCGTGTGGGGTCTCGATCCCGTGCCGGGCTCCCCAGCCCAGAGCACCAGAGCTGGGAAGAGACTCCAGTGATATCAGTGACTGAGTTGTTTAGCTTTGGGGTGGGGACCAGTTTCCCCACTTTTCTGTGGGACCTCATGGGAGATCCACTAGTCCCACCTTCCTAACTCCTGGGGGCCCTGCCCTGCTAAGCTGGGGTGCCTGGCAGAGTCTGGGGCAGACAGTGGTATGGCTGTAGGACAGGCGCTGTTTTCCTCTCCCCTGCCCACCTGGTGCAGGGCCTTCCCTCCGCAGGGCCAAATCTTGGTCTGTTTGAACCTGATAAACTCTGCTGGCCTTACCCCGCTGACTCCCTGAGACCCCGCCCTACCACAAAAACTCACAGACCCGGACAACAGGATGGCGGTTACCAGAGGGGAGGGGTGTGGGGGGAGGTAGAAGAGGGTAAACAGGGCATAAATGGTTCTGGAAGGAGACTTCACTTTGGGTGGTGAACACAATACAACATACAGATGGTGTACTATAGAGTTGTACACTTGAAACCTATATAATCTTATTAACCAATGTCACCCCAATTAATAAAATTAAAAAAATAAAGTACATTAAATTAAACCTTTATTGATAAAAGTATATATATGAAGTTTGTAAAGTATATGATTGTCTAACCACTATGCTGTATACCTGAAACAATACAAAATCATATTGAATATAAACTGTAATAGAATGATAAATCTAAAAAATATATGAAATTTAAGATCATATGGCTTTTAATTGAACAAAATCTGTTATTGTACCTATTAGCAATAAAAATAATAACAGCTATCATTGCGGTAAAAATGTAAAAATACAAAACTTTAAAGAAAAAGAGATGCAATTTTGAGATATCAACCTAGGCAAAGAGTTCTTTGACTGGACACCAAAATCACAATCCATAAAAGGAAAAGTTGGTATTTTGGACTCCATAAACCTTCATGCTTTTTCTGAAAAAAAGTTGTTAAACAGATGAAAACAGAAGCACAAAAATGTGAGAAAATATTTGTAAACCACATAACCAACAAAAGACTAGAATCTAGAATATACAAAGAAATCTCAAAACTCAACAGTGCCAAACAGTCCAGTTACCGAAAGAGCAAAAGTCATGAAGAGACAGTTCACCAAAGAGGATATACAGATGGCACATAAGCACACTGAAAACATTTCAGACTCGTCAGCTGTTGGGGACCTGCACGGTAACACCGCAGTGAGATATCCCTGCGCTCCTATCAGAATGCCGTAAATTGGAAACATAACAGCAAACGCTGGTCAGGCTGCAGTGAATCTGGATCAGCACTGCACTGCTGACGAGAACCGGAGGCTCGTTCTGGAAAACAGTCCTGAAGCTCCTTACAAAACTAAGCATACACCCCAGCAGTTGCACTCTCGGACATTTATCCCAGGGAGATAAGAAGTTATGTTCTTGGAAAATCTGTCCATGAATCTGTAGTAGCTTTATTCATACTATCCCCAAATTGTAAACAGCCCAGACAGATACCCTTTAATGGATGAATAAAATGCAGCACATTTCTGCCATGATATGCTACTTGGCAACCACCACAACAAAAATGGGATAAACTATAGATAATATGTAATAATCTGGGTAAATTTCCAGAGGGTTATTCTGAGTTTTAAAAATAATCCAATCCCAAAGGTTATCTACTATATGATTCTGTTATATCGCATTCTCGAAATGACAGAATTATAGCAACAGAGAACAAATTTTGGTTGCCAGTGGTAACAAGGGGAAGGGAGTAAGAGAAAAGTATTTGTGTTGTTAAAAGAAGGACAGGAGGGGTCCTTGTGGAGATGGAAGTGCTCTGTGTCTTGACTCTCAGTGTCAGTACCCTGGTTGTGATAGTGTTCTGTAGGTTTCCAAGATACCACTGTTGAGTGAAGCTGGCAAATGATGTGCAGGATTTTTCTATTATTTTGTAGAAATGCCCGTGAGTCTATAATTATCTCAAAATCTAAAGCTGCTTTTTAAAAAACACAGAAAAAAGACACACACATACAAAACTGAGGATCTCTGATGAGAATATGACCAGTGACTTACTACTTACCAATACTGGTTTATAGGTGCCGCCTGGATGTGAGATATTAGCCATAGGGGAGACCATGTGCTGGTTCTGTGGGAACCTTCTCTTAATAGTCTGGCAACTTTTTTTCTGCATAAATCTAAAACTCTTTCTTTAAAGTAAAATTGTGTTAAATGTTTAAGTAATAAATGGATAAACTATGCAGATAGACACATTTATCTGTCCCTGTTGAAGAATGCTTTTAAAAAGAATATTGTCATGGTTGTTTATTACATTAAAATTTTTAATAACCTATAAAATAAATTGTCAGATCTGTACATTATAAATTATGTATGTGTGTCATATATTTAGATGAGATACAATCTACATTTACTGAAAACTTTAAAGTCTATGATATTGATAATAAAAAATAAAGTGTGTTATGTGCCAATATGTAAAACCTGGTATCAGCTCATATTTTTGTTTTGCAAGGGAAGTACATAGGAACATATGTATATATATGCTATGCTTTTAAAAGATTGCGTGGAAGGCTAACGACAAGGCCACCTGAGACCTCCCAAAACTCAGCTATCATTAGGATACTTAATTTTCAGATCACCACATCCACCAAGGCACTGGACTCAAAGAAGACATACTAGTTGTGCTCGAACTAAAATTTCCCCAGGATATCACAACTAGTGAATGATAGAATTAGGGGAGCCACATTCACACTCTCATTTTTAAAAATTAAATTTACTGGGGTGACATTGATTAATAAAATGACATAGATTTCAAGTGTATGCTTCTATGATACAATACCGTATGCCCACCACCCATAGTCAGATCTTCTGTCACCATGTATTTGACTCCCTTTACCCTTTACTATCCCCTTTACCCTTCCCAGCAAGCTTTCTTGTGTTTGTTTTTTGTTTTCACCATCATTTTAGCACCTAATAGGTGTTTAGTAAGTGTGAGTTAAAGAGACCGAGATCACTTTCTTCCTGCAGGGCACCTCTCGTCCCTCCCGTGGTCTCACCCTCTCATAGTCGAGACTGTAAAACTTGGCAGTTTCCATTCACAGCTTCGAATGATTTAGAATTCTGTTTTGCATTTCGGTTTTGTCTGAGCCCATATGGCAAAGTCAAAACTCCAAATGAATCTGATAGATTCCATCTTGTGCTAGCCATTCCCATGGCTTGGTAGGCACTGTAAGCTTCCCACTACTTAACTCTACCTTACTCTGTGGCCATCTGTATCTCCATCTTCAGACTTGGATGGTTCTCACAGTCGCCTCTGAAGCATAGTACAAAAGAGCTCCATCGTGCTCATTTGTTAGGAGTGAGTCTCTAAGAGACCAAGAGAGGAAATAAATCAACCTGGAGACAGAGTTTGTAGTAGTGGAGGGTCGTAGTTCCCCAGCACAGGTATGCTCGCTTGTACAAAATTATCCTTCGAGTCAGAGGCCCCATGCTTAGAGTTCATAAATTGTCATTTACCAGCTAGCATAAATATTTACCAAGCAATTAATATTTGTCAAGTACTAAGGACTTAACATATAGCATCCTTTTAAATTCTCCAAATAATTCTTGGAACTAAACACTGATACTATCCCCATTAAATCTTTCAGCTTAGTTTCTTTCTCTCTGAGAGTGCTGGGCTCCCAAGCCGAATTATTAGTTTTCACTGTCGAATTGTGAGTTGTATAAATACATAGGTGGGCTTCAGAGAGGATTTTACATTTGAGCTGTGTCTTGAAGAATGAATGAGATTTGCGTAGGCAGAGCATGATAGAAAGGCTATTTGGGGGTAAAAGACCAACGTGTACAGAAAACAAACAAACAACCCCCCCTGAAAAAAAAAAAATGAAAGAAACTTGTAATTGAATGATTTATTTAGACAACGGTGCAGCAAAATACATGACTAGAGAGCTTGTGAGAAAGTGTCTGATGACCACAACAGTCACTTTGGGCCTATTATGAATGGCCTTTAATGCCAGGAATAACAGCCTGGGTTTACTTCTCTAGGTGACTCGGAACTGAAATGTGGAAATCCTTGAGTGACCCTCTGGCGGCAGTGCAAATGATTCATTGACGAGGAATCAGAGACTGGGACACCAGGTAGGTCTTCTCAGGCTAACTGTTGGGGTTAACATGAGCCTGGAGCTCATTAATATGCTTTGCTCTCTATTAGACTTTACATCCCGTGGCTCATTAATTCCCTGTTGATGTACCCCCAGGCTGTGCCTGCTCCTCATTGAGTTCACAGGGTAAAGATCTCTCTCTCTCACAACTGTATCAACATCCAGCCTCGCTAGGCCACAGCATCTGCCGATTCCTGTGTCAGAACCTTTGACCCATGAGTTCCGTTTCAATCTTTAACTTCAAGAGTTGGGGAAAAAAATAAATGTGATGATTAGATGTGGCTGAGATATTCAGAACAGCAATTTCTGAGAGTTTCCGCAACTGAGAGACCCAGCTGCTTCGCTAGGTGGTTGATGTTATTTCTCCCGAGGGTGGAAGGTGAGATGACTCGGGGGGCAACTTTAATCATTCAGCAGGCTTGTTTGGTGGAAAGAGATGAGAGAGGTCAAGGCAAAGTCTTAGGTATTTGTTTTTTTCTTTTTTAATGAATTGAAAATATTTATATAATGTTTATGCCTCTTGCTATATATAAATAGGTAAAATGAAAATAAAACTTTAAATAAGTGGGTGAAGAAATGAGAGCACATGGAAAGTGAGACTTAGAACGAGATGACAAAATTGAGCATGGTTTTGATACCCACAAGGCTTACCGTAGGCACCTGTGCACCCGGGGGTGCTGGGCCATGAATTGGGCTCTAGCTCTTTAACCAGCCCAGGGATCATGCAACCCAGGGGTCATGTACCTTTTCAATGTCCATTGAGGAAGGAAGGGGGAAAGGAGACAAATATCGAAAGCATGCACTGAGAAGCACACCACTCATGTTCCGATTTCTCCAGTATCCAGTGGTCCCCAGGGGGATATTAGGGATTTTAATTAAAACAGTCCTTGAAAAATATTCTTGTAACACAGCTGCCAATTCAGAGAATCTTTCCCAATGTACCCATTAGTACAAGATTGAAACACATTTCAATAACGTAGATGCTATGAGTGGGGTGGTGGAAGGAAGAGTACAATGCTGCTGTTCAAGTACGTGGTTTCCTGTTCATCTTCACATAGAGCGGGAATAGCTTTTAGAGCAGGTATTTTTTCACCTCAGTGATATGGGTCTGTAGAGAATCTTTCCAAGTGCCTGGTTGGGGCCAACCCCAGATCTATTATAACATTTGTAATCCTGGACCAAGTTTCTGGGGTATCACTAAGATGGATACAAAACATACAGCTAAGGAAGCAAATGAAATGATTTGTGATTCCGTAATAAAAACTACATCCCAGTTTAATATTGGAAGACTGCCAAAATTATTGGCTTAGATTCTATAATAACTCATTGTAATTTTTGACTTGTTAATGATAGTTTTTTGACTTGTCAAGGAAATAATTTATCTGTTTTTAATACAAAGCCTAAACACAAGGTATTTCTTGGAATAGAATATGAGGTGATAAGAGAAGCTGTGGCCCCTGAGGAGGCTGAGGACCTGGGAAGGTGGCTGGAGAAAAGAGGACACATTAGAGACGAGCTTCTCCATCACAGCCCTACAAGTAGCTGTTCCAAATAATGAAACATATAAATTGGATCCCATCTAATGGTAGGCTAAGAAAATGAGAGAGAGAGAGATTTATTTCTTACTTTCTCCATTGAGCCTTTTCAGCATCTTTGCTGCACAACCTCACAAAGTTATTTACCACAGGTGTGTCACTAATTATGATGTATTATAAACATTTGCATTGTGTAATGGTCCTCAGTGCCTTCCACCTGTGACCTGGTACGTGCATACCAAGCAGTCAAGCAAAGCAGGTAGAAATACAGGCTGCCAACTTCAGATCTTTTTTTTTTCAGATGTACCATTCTCTTAGGGCATCAATGTTTAGGGAATTTTCCCCCTCAGTTTTCTAAATTGTTGCATTTAATTGCATATTTTAAATCTTAAAATATTAATGATTTTAAATACAAACCTTTCCAAGTGATATGTATGCGTCATTGTCTTCTTAAACTAATTAAAGTTGAGATCAGTTTACGTGTATTTTCTAAATGACCTAGATCCTACTTTATCAATAATTAGACCGGGACGAAATGAGTCTTCTCAGTGGGTACTAAGGATGCAAAAGCAGGTTTGGCTTGTGCTAAGGGATCACGTATATCTTTGTCTTAGGAACTCTGGACTTTGTTTAATAATAATAGCAATACTGAATCTTCTGCATTATAGGCCCTATTGCTTTGCAGTGGTTTTGCTTGCTGATATCAATGTTCCTATCTCTAGTATCATTCTCCCATTTCATCCCCACTGTAATGGGCATCTCTTCTTTCTGAAAGCATACCTGCTATAGCTGCAGTAGCCATGGTGACAATCCCCACCCTCACTTGCCCAGTGCCTCATATATCCCAGGAACTCCACTGAACACTTAGCATCCATTGCTTCATTTTCCTTCATAATTGCTGATGAGGTAGCTATTATGAACCCAGGTGAAGAATTATTTAAGATCAGAGAGCTGAGACAAAGAGAATGTCCAATTTGTCTGTGATTAGTTGGAGTGGACACTGGTGGTCAATGCGAGCTCCTGTTTCATCACTTCAGGGCAGCAGGTCCTGAGGACTAACACTGTTGAGTAGTGTAGACAGGAGATATTACCTTGTGGCTCTCATATTGTCTGTGGGATTGAGGATATTGGAGATCTGACCTCCAGAGAGGCAGGAGCGAGTGTGCTGAGATCCTAAGACCAAGGCGATGCTAGATTTGGTTTCTTCTTGAGATCATTAAGTTGCCAGAAATTAGGAAAGAACACAAATGACCACAGCTCTGGAACCCAAACATTTCAAAAGAGATAATAATGTAGTACCCACATAGGGAATGAAACATAACGAGCCAGCAAAAAACCCACCACTGAAAGAAACACAGTAAAATATTCTTTGGAAGGAAGTCCCTGAGAGAATCTACTATACAGGTAAATAAACTGAACAGGTGATTTCCAAACAAACAAACCCAAAACCCACGCTCGCAGGAGGTTTCTTAGACATATGAAATTTGCATCTGAAACAACATAAGCCATTGTAAGCCTTGAATTTTTCCTGAGCGTAACCCTTGTCTTTCGCTTAGTTCCGTGTATGCTGACTGCTGTGGTCGTTCCACCCAAGTGGTGGAAGAGGGTTGCGCAGGCGATGAGCAAGTAGGACAGCGGGGCCAGAGAGTCACCACGAGGATGCTGTCTAAGTGCTGAGGAGGCTGGGAACAAGCTTAGCCATCAAGAAAAGGCATCAGTTTGGGGACAAAGAAGCTCAGTGATTGTCCTGGCCAGTTTTGCTCAGTGGTTAGAGTGTCAGCCCGCGGACTGAAGGGCCTCGGGTTCGATTCCAGCCAAGGGCATGTGCCTCAGTTGCAGGCTCCATCCCTGGCCCCGGTCGGGGCGCGTGCGGGAGGCAGCCAGTCGATGTGTCTCTCTCACATCGATGTTTCTCTCTCTCTCCTTCCACTCTCTCTGAAAAGCAATGGAAAAAATATCCTTGGGTGAGGATTTAAAAAAAAAAAAAAAAAGGCATGTGGGATGGAAGAGATGGTTGTGGCCAAATACCATCATATTGGAAGTTAGGGCTTCAGCATATGAAATTGGTCCATGAAATTCAGTGGGATGAAAATCTCCCAGGTTTCATTTCCTCCTGGTCTCCCCCTCCCTAGCTGATGGGTTCCGGTTTGCTATTGTTGTTTTATAAGCTGTCGCAGCACTAGAAGCAGATTGAAGCTGCAGGCAATTACAATTAAATCAGGAGAAAGCTATGCATTCACCAAGGTTAACACAAGCTGCAGCCAAATCAGGGTGCAACAAATATAAAAACAACCAAGACCTCAAAATAAACAGCCATTTCAATCACATCCCCTTTAGTCCTCCCATCAATAACCTAGGAACCATGTACAATCAAAAGCTAAATAAATACGTTTCCAAATCAATATATATGTCACTAAAATCCTCAAGCTACAAATGTAACATGTCATTTTAGTTTACAGGCTAATGTTCCCAAAACAAGTTATGACAGTATTAAAGGCACATTTTGATACAGTAGAACCTCCCTATGTATAAACTGTAGACACAGGTATAAACTCAGTATTGATCTAATGAACAGGTATATAATGAGCTCAGTTGCTTTAATGTGTGTTTGAATATGTGTCTCCTTTCAAGTTGGATTTTTAGATATAAATTTTAGTAAATTCAATTTGCTGCTTTCTCTACAAGCTTATCAATCTTCCGTGTAAGTTGGTGTGTATATTACAATGCATATTACATTGAGAATGGTCATTCAAGTATTATGGTGCATATAAACTTTATATTAATATGTTCTTTTGACGCCGCATTATATTTATCGTCATTCCTTGCCATCGTTATTTAAATAGCTGCCTATTTCATTTGGGTGTTCTCAATCTCCATAGGGAACTCTCTACTTTACTGCCAGTTCTTGTCCTTAAAAAAACGGATTAATTTCCCAAAAAGTATTTTATGGGTCCTTTTTCCGACAGACTAAGTTCTAAACTCTTTAACCTAATTGCTAAAAACATCCATGTTCTATTCCATGCCCAGGTTTTTCCTGATTAAATCATTTTATGGGAATCTGTTCCAACAAAGCTTAGAGAGGCTACAGGTCTGATGATGTCATCTTCGACCAAGCCTCTACAGCTCGGGGTGATAGTTTCCCGGCCCCCATATCTACCCATCTCCTATTCTTTCTTCGAGATTGAATTCAGATTCATCCCCTCTGTGGTGATACCTTGCCTGTTCCCCCCAGGTGTACTTACTCTTTCCTTTGCACCTCCCAGCAGCCCCTAACTCATACATTTTAAAATGGCATGTGTTTTGCCCTGGTGCATGTGGCTCAGTTGGTTGAGCGTCATCCTGTGCACTGAAAGGTCGCCAGTTTGAACCCCAATCAGGGCACATACCCAGGTTTGGGGAGGGTGTAGAGGAGGCAAGTGATTGATGTTTCTGTCTCACATCA